TACCATATTCCCGAATGAGGACATTTAATGTTAGATAGATATTCTTCCCATATTAATGTGGAGATTTAACACAATTCTAAATAAAGTATTAAATAAATGAATTTATTGTTCATCTGAGAGAACAGGCATGTGATAAAAGCTAAAAAACATAAGAAAGAAGAACGATGAGAGGAAACTTCCTGATTAATAACAATGAAAATAGTGTGATACTCCTTAAACCTGACACATTATGAAAGAGAATAGCTATCTCTGCTCTACTATATGTAAGAACTTCACAAGTAATAAATAAATCATTTGCAAACTAATGTGATAGGATGAGATGGAGTTTTGGAGGTAAAACACAAAGTAGAACCTTTCCTTGAGCCTGAGGAATTTTGCATTCTCCAGGCTCATTCGCATGAGGCATATAGCAACTAACCTTGTGCGAGGAAATTGTCCTAGGCCATGCCTGGACTTAAGTTTGGGAGAACAGAAAGAGAACTTTAAGCCTTGGAGTCAAGAGGATTTTGCCTTTTAATAATGCTTGAAATGTGTGTGTGTGTTTATTTATTTATTGTTATATTAGTTGGTGATTGCTTCCTTGCTGTGGTCACTGGAAGAACTAGACAAAGGCCTTTCTTTTTCTTTTCGTTTCTTTTCTTTTCTTTCTTTATTTTTTTTGAGACAGAGTCTCACTCTGTTGCCCAGGCTAGAATGGCGTGGCATCAGCCTAGCTCACAGCAACCTCAAACTCCTGGGCTCAAGCAATCCTCCTGCCTCGGCCTCCCAGAGTGCTAGGATTACAGGCGTGAGCCACCATGCTTGGCCCCTCAGCCATTTCTAATGAAGGTGCATCTCTATTCAACTCTGTATTCCTAGAATGGCACACAGAAGAAACTCAGTAAATGCTGTTAAACAAGTGAATGTATAATTAGATTGAAAGAATTATATAGCTTGTAGTGGAAAATTATATATACGAGGTCTGTCTGGAAGGTATCTAGTGATTGTTTTTTATTTCAGACAGAGTCTCACTCTGTTGCCCTGGCTAGAGTGCCATAGCATCAGCCTAGCTCACAGCAACCTCAAACTCCTGGGTCTTGCTCTCGCTCAGGCTGGTTTTGAACTCCTTGGACCTTGAGCGATCCACCCACCTCAGCGTCCCAGAGTGCTAGGATTACAGGCATGAATGAGCCACCGCGCCCAGCCAATGATTGTTCATGTAGTGAGAATGGTTTGCGTGACACCGATGTAACCTGGCAGCCAAGGAGAGTGGACTGGAATGCACACCCGTGAACAATGACACCTTCACTATCCTAGTCAGTGGGGCGCTAGGCGCTGTGGAGTGAGCGTGTGCACTGTGTGGCCGTTGCATTGAAATGACTGAGCAAGTAGAGCAAGGATTCTGCATCAAATTTTGCATTAAGCTTGAACACTCCTCCATGGACACTATTCAGATGATTCAGAAGGCTTTCTGGATAATGCAATGAGTGCAGTGCAAATAAAAGTGTGGCACAAATGCTTCAAAAATGGTCAAGAATCTGTTGAAAGTGATCCACGTTCTGGAAGGCCTGCAACAAGCAGAACACCTGAGAATGTTGAGCGTATACAGGCTGCCATCAACAAAGACCAGCGACTGACAGTGCGAGAACTAGAAGCTGATCTGGGGATTCCAAAAACTACTGTGTCCGAGATTTTGACGCAGGATCTTGGCATGAAACGTGTCCTGGCAAAAGGGTCCCGCGGCTTCTGCTACCAGAGCAGAAGGAACATCGTGCTGCATTTGCTAATGACTTGCTTCAAACCATTACCAACGAGCCAGACTTCCTCCAGAAGGTAATAACTGGAGACGAATCGTGGGTCAGCTAGGATCCGGAAACCAAGGCACAGTGGTTCCAGTGGAAGTTGCCTGGTTCTCCACGCCCGAGGAAGGCTCGGCAAAGTCACAGCAAGATCAAGACCATCCTAACTGTGTTTTTTGATTGGAAAGGTGCTGTCCATCATGAGTACGCTCCTCCAGGCCAAACAGTTAATAAGGAGTATTGCCTCAGTGTTTTCCTTGGTTGAGAGATGCAATGTGAGGAAAACAGCTGTTGCTGTGGACAACTGGTGATTGGCAGCTTCCTCACAACAATGCACCACCCACGCATCACTTCTCATGCAGTTTTTTGGTGAAACATCAAATTACCCAGGTGATTCAGGCCCCCTACAGCCCATATTTGGCACCCTCCAACTTCTGGCCTTTCCCAAAACTAAAATCACCTTTGAAGTGGAAGAGATTTCAGACTGTAGATGAGATTCAGGAAAATAAGACAGCTGATGGTGACTCCAACACAGGATTTTGTAGAGTGTTTTAAACAGTGGAAGAGACACTGGGAAAACTGTGTTGAGGTCCCAAGGTACCTACTTTGAAGAGGACTGAGGCGTCATTGTCCTATGTACAGTGCTTCTTGTAGCTTCTTCAATAAATGTGTCTATTTTTCATATTACATGGCTGGATACTTTCTGGCAGACCTCATATATATATATATATATATATTTTTTTTTTTTTTTTTTTTTTGAGACAGAGTCTCAACTTGTTGCCCAGGCTAGAGTGAGTGCCATGGCGTCAGCCTCGCTCACAGCAACCTCAATCTCCGGCTCAAGCAATCCTTCCTGCCTCAGCCTCCCGAGTAGCTGGGACTACAGGCATGTGCCACATGCCGGGCCAATTTTTTGTATATATATTTTTAGTTGGTCAATTAATTTCTTTCTATTTTTGGTAGAGACGGGGTCTCGCTCAGGCTGGTTTTGAACTCCTGACCTTGAGCAATCCGCCTGCCTTGGCCTCCCAAAGTGCTAGGATTACAGGCGTGAGCCACCGCGCCCAGCCTATTCTTTAATATATATTAATATAAAAACACATAGGCCGGGCGTGGTGGCTCACGCCTGTAATCCTAGCACTCTGGGAGGCCGAGGCGGGCGGATTGCTCCAGGTCAGGAGTTCAAAACCAGCCTGAGCAAGAGCGAGACCTCATCTCTATTATAAATAAAAAAGAAATTAATTGGCCAACTAATATACATAGAAAAAATTAGCCGGGCATGGTGGTGCATGCCTGTAGTCCCAGCTACTCGGGAGGCTGAGGCAGGAGGATCATTTGAGCCCAGGAGTTTGAGGTTGCTATGAGCTAGGCTGACGCTATGGCACTCACTCTAGCCTGGCAACAAAGTGAGACTCTGTTTCAAAAAAATAAATAAATAAATAAATAAAATAAAAATAAAAATAAAAACACATAAAGACTTGGCACAGTAGCTCACACCTGTAATCCTAGCACTTTGGGAGGCCAAGTTGGGAGGATCATTTGAGGTCAAGAGTTTGAGACCAGCCTGAGCAACACAGTGAGACCCTGTCCCTATAAAAAATAGAATAATTAGCCAGGTGTGGTAGCGTGTGCCTATAGTCCCAGCTACTTGGGAGGCTGAGGCAGGAGGATCACTTGAGCCCAGGAGTTGGAGGTTGCAGTAAGCTATGATGACACCATTGTACTCTAGCCCAGTTCAGAGTGAGACCCTATCTCAAAAAATGAAAATAAATAAATGAATATAAAAACCTTCAAATACATAAGCAAAAAATTGCAAACATTTCTAAGTAGAAATTTTCTAAATCCTGTAATAAATATAATAAATGAAAATTATTTGCAAACAAATAATGTCCCCAAAATAGTTTGTTTTATTTTGAGTAGCATATGCATGCTTCCTAAATTTGTTTTACGTTATTATTTTCACTGGCAAAACTTAGGCTCACAAATTGCAAGAATTACATATTCTGAATTAGTAGATAAAATAAAAGTAATGATAGTGGTGTTGCTATCACTCCTAAATTGGGTATGCTGAATAAAACAACAAAAATAACATTTCCTTTCCAAAAAATGGAGAAAGTTGCTCAATCCCATTGTTGCCTTATTTCACTAAGCTGTACCTCCCATTTCAGTACCTCACCAGTCTTGGCACTACTACTCTTAACACTTTTTATTCAAACAATTCACAGAAAGCATGTTCCAGCCGGGCACGGTGGCTCACGTCAGTAATCCTAGCACTCTGGGAGGCTGAGGTGGGCGGATTGCTCCAGGTCAGGAGTTCGAAACCAGCCTGAGCAAGAGCGAGACCCCCGTCTCTACTATAAATAGAAAGAAATTAATTGGCCAACTAATATATATAGAAAAAATCAGCTGGGCATGGTGGTGCATGCCTGTAGTCCCAGCTACTTGGGAGGCTGAGGCAGAAGGATAGCTTGAGCCCAGGAGATTGAGGTTGCTGTGAGCTAGGCTGACCCACAGCACTCACTCTAGCCTGGGCAACGAAGTGAGACTCTGTCTCAAAAAAAAAAAAAAAAAAAAGAAAAAAAGAAAGCCTGTTCCAATTCTGTTCACAGGGGTCATATTCACCTGGGTTTGTTGTTTGCTGAGCATGTGAGCATACATCTGGTACTGTGCCAGTTACAAAATAGGTCACAAGTCACTATTTCTGCCCTCAAGAAGATAACAGTCCAGTTGGAGAAATAAGATGCAAACAGACATAAAATAATCAGAAAACAATTCAAGGCAACATTCAGTGTTTAAGTGTCAAATTTTGTGGTACAGTAGTTATGGTGGCTCACACCTGTAATCCTAGCACTATGGGAGGCTGAGATAGAAGGATTGCTTGAGGCCAGAAGTTTGAGACCAGCCTGAGCAAGAGACCCTGTCTCTACAAAAAATAGAAAAAAATTAGCCTGACATAGTGGTGTGCACCTGTCGTCCCAGCTACTGGGGAGGTTAAGATAGAAGAATCACTTGAGCCTAGGAGTTTGAGGTTGCAGTGAGCTCTGATGATGCCCCTGCACTCTAGCTGGGGCAACAAAGCCCTGTCTCAAAACAAAACAAAACAAAACAAAATGAAGAAACCAAAACAAAACAAGAAGGCATTTGATGTGAGCTCAGAAGTTTAAGAAAAATTTGAGCTATTGGAAAGAAGGGGAAGGCACCATGCCTGAAAAGACATCCTACCTGAGATTTTCTCCATCTCTTCCAATAGCTTCTCCAAGTCCTTATTCAGGTCTGATAGCATTTTCAGCATGTTGTCGTAGTTTCTTTCCCCAGGATCAGAATCAGCCATCTAGGTGGTACACAGAAAGAAGCTGCCATGAGACAGACTCATGTTTTAATTTCAGCTCCACTGTTCACATCTGGGTGATTCCTCCAAATAATTCTTTTCCCATCTCTTAGATTCCAACACCACTTACCCCACAGGGCTGTTGTAAAGGTTAAATGAGAACGTGTATGAAGGGCCCAACATAATATTTGGCACATATCACTCATCCTTCCCCTTTCTTTGTTCCTTGTTATACAGAACTTCTACAAATTACAAAAAAATTATTGTCCAGCTGAGGGCTGGAAGGGTTAAAGTGGAAGACATTGTCATCATCATGAGGGAAAAAGGTCTTGCCATAATGGTGACACAATAGTGGAATTTCTTTTGGCAAAACTGTATTGAGTACCTACTAAAATGCAAACTGTTGTGCTGCTATGGTAAGAAGCTACAATCCCTGCCCCTAAGGAATTTCTAGCGTAATACTGGAAGTAAGTCATACACATACCATATGACAAACCAGAATACAAACGATACCAAAGTAAATACCTGAACAGCACTTAATATGCTAAATATGACTACGAAATTATGGGAGCCTGGAAGAGGGGAAGTTTAATTTTTTTTTTTTTTTTTTTTGAGACAGAGTCTCACTGTGTTGCCCAGGCTAGAGTGCTGTGGCATCAGCCTAGCTCACAGCAACCTCAAACTCCTGGGCTCAAGCGATCCTTCTGTCTCAGCCTCCTGAGTAGCTGGGACTACAGGCATGTGCCACCATGCCCAGCTGATTTTTTCTATACATATTTTTAGCTGGCCAATTAACTTCTTTCTGTATTTAGTAGAGACGGGGGTCTCGCTCTTGCTCAGGCTGGTTTTGAACTCCTGACCTTGAGTGATCCAGCCGCCTCAGGCTCCCAGTGTGCTAGGATTACAGGCGTGAGCCACCGCACCTGGCCTGAAGTTTAATTTTAAAATATGAAATGATTCACAAATTTGCAGATGGAAAAAATTATAATCAAATTAGTTTTCTAGAAGGACTCTCTTGGACATTAGAGGCAGTATTCCATTATGGACAGTACTAGCTGTAGAGTAGAACTTCTTGGGTTCAAATCTTGGCTCCACTCCATATTAGCTGTTTTACCTTTGGCAACCCACTTATCTTCTTGATAATAATTTTTTTGTCATTTTTAAAAGGGAATTATTAATAGTACCTATATCTTATAGGGTTTTGTGAAGATTAAATGATATAAATTATATACTGTTAGTACAATATCTACCATAATAAGCACTTAGTAAATCATACCTATTGTTACTTAAAATATTGAACTCTAAATCACTTCAGATCCTTCCCTGTTATTAATATACATTAATTCATTCCATTAATATTTGATGCTCACTGACTTACCTACAAGGCACTGGGCTAGGTGGGATGGGAGAATAGATTTTTTTTTTTTTTTTTGAGACAGAGTCTCACTTTGTTGCCCAGGCTAGAGTGAGTGCCGTGGCGTCAGCCTAGCTCACAGCAACCTCAAACTCCTGGGCTCAAGCAACCCTCCTGCCTCAGCCTCCCAAGTAGCTGGAACTACAGGCATGTGCCACCATGCCCAGCTAATTTTTTCTCTCTCTCTATATATATTACTTGGACAATTAATTTATTTCTATTTATAGTAGAGGTCTCGTTCTTGCTCAGGCTGGTTTCAAACTCCTGACCTCGAGCAATCTGCCCACCTCGGCCTCCCAGAGTGCTAGGATTACAGGCGTGAGCCACCTCGCCCGGCCGGGAGAATAGATTAATAAGGCTGTATGAGTGGTCAGGGAGCTTTCAGCCTCACGAAGGTGAAGGAATGAGCCAGGTGACCATAAAACAGGGAGGGATGGGCCACAGATGTGAGGTACTGTACTCACTATACGTGTGGACATGTATGGAAAGCCTTCCTGGCCTTTGCTGCAGAGTTAGAGGCCTCCATTCGGTCCTCCTGTGGCTCCCTGGGCCTCCTTCACCATGGTGCCTCTCAGCTAGAGTCTACCTCCACAAGTAGACTATGAAGTTCTGGGGAGCAGGGGCTATCTTTTCAAGGCATTATTCCTAGTGTTCAGCTCAGGGCTAGGAAAATAGCAAGTGCTCAATGTTGGCTGAATAAAAGAAAGAAGGAACGACTACCGTAAAGCTCTAATTCTGAAAGATCTCCCTCCCACCCTCCCCGTTAAGGGCAGGAATTCTGATGGAGGAGCAGAGGTCCTCCAGCAGACCTGAGAGTTAGATCTGAGAACTAGGGTGCAGGGGCAGGGTGTATGGTCTTTTGGGATCAGTCAATGAGCTAATCCTGTGGGCATGGCGCCATTCCACATTCATGGACCCCGTCCTTTCTGCTGGCCTTACTTTCTTTTGGTAAGGAGGAATAGTTTTCTAAGAGCAAGTGTGGAGGTACAGACAGGGGGCAGGGCAGGGGCGGTACAAAGAGTACCAGGTACACGGAGTTTGAGTCGGGGAGCCCTCTTGGAATGAGAAATGTGAGGGGACATGAAGGGCACCTGGCTCAGCTATTTGCTCCTCTGTGAAGGGTGAGGGTCTGCAGGTGTGTGCAGTGCGGTAACAGAATGCACGTGGGATGCTCAGGCAGGAGGGTGCTGGAGTTAGAGGGCACCCAGGGTCTGGGCATGGTCCTGGCGTACAGGTGTCAGGGAACTGAGGTGGTGTATGGAGTCCAGGTGTCCAGGTGTGGGGGGTGAAGGGTAAGAGGTGCAAGGTGTGTGGAGCTCAGGATTAGCATGTATGGTATGAGAAGACTGAGGGGCGGGGTGTGGGGTGAGAAGGTTAAGGTGAAGGGTGAGGGGTGAGAAGGCTGAGGTGACGGGTCAGGGGTGAGGGATCGGGGTTAGGAAACTGAGGTGAGGGGTGAGGGGTCGGGGGGGAGGGGTCGGCCTGTAGCCCCTATACATCGGTGTTGAGTGCTGCGGGGACACTGTGACAGGGTCCAGGCGGAATCTGGGGCTCAGGGTTCGCCGGAGGCTCAGGCACCCCGCGGGCAGGACCGGCTCACCTCCCGCTCGGCCTGCGCTCGAGTCCCGCTCTGCTGCCCCCAGCGGCCGGCAGAAGCATGAGGCGGCTGCTCGGGAACGACGCCCCGCCCCTTTCCGTTACCAGACCCGCCCCCGGTAATGGTCTCTCGCCCTCATTGGCTGGTCTGTGGAGCGGAAGGGGCGGAGCCTCTCCGCGGCCCGCAGGTGGACTTCCGGGTCCCTGGCGGACCTAGGGCCTCGGTTGACTAGGGCCGGAGCCTGATGGAGACTAGTTGCAGAGATCAGGGGGGGCCGGGCTGCTCCTGACCTGGCCACAGAGCCCTGGTTCCTGACCGGTATGTTCCCCCCGTGGCTTCTTCCTGAGCTGAAGGACCCGTGCGCGGGCCCTGTGTCTGACGGCTGTGTCCTCAGTGTCAGGACGGCACTGGACACGAACGTGCTGTTAATAGTAGACATTTGTTGAGCGAGTCGCTGGTTGCCCGGATATTTCCAGTGTCACGACTGCCAGGCCATGGCGGCGCCGGCTGTCAGGAAGCCCACAGATACCAGGCTGGTCTGTCCAGGCCCTTGTGCACTGACACCAGCTGATTGCCACCACATGTCTCCTCCACATCCCGGACACACCGCCGGACTGCACTTCCCGGCTTCCTCGCGACTGAGAGGTGCTCTGTAGCCCTTGGAGGCCAGGCCCGTCAGAGCCTCCCGCAAGAGGCTGTCTGTCTCTCTCCCCCCAGGCAGCTTGGGGGCCAGCTGCTGAGGGCGGGGCTCCTGTCACCTCGGTCCTTGAGTAACGGTGCAGAGCCCCCATCTCAGCCAGCTGCATTTGACGTGAGCAACAATTAAACTTCTACTGGGGTTAAGGGTTAAAGCCATTGAGATTTCAGGCTTTATTTGTTATGGCTGCTAACCTTAATTAGTGCAGATCTGCAGGCATAGGGAAGCTTATTTGGGTCTGGTGGGTTGCCACCTGAGGTTTATACCCTGGTTTAGTATTATCGTTCCTCATTTCACTTATTTGAACCAAGACAGATTTTAAAAACTTTAATGACTGAATTTCAACATTAATTACAAGCCAGCTTGTTGGAAACTGTTTACTGCTCTCCCAGGACGGACTGAGCTGATGTCCCCAGGTTACCAAAATCCAGACACTTTCCCAGAGGAGGTTACACAGGCACCCTAAGAGGCAGAGAACTGGGAGAATACTTTTGGAAGCTCAAGAAAGCTCTGATACGAAATGTAACATTTTGCGAGCATAGGTGTACTTTTATAAGCTCAAGAAGACTCAAAAGAGGTTAGGAGCCTCTGCCCTAGGGATCCTCACATTGCTTTCAAGGTTTTTAACTACCTTCAAAACTGTTACAAGGAGCCTAAATCTCTCCTTAGCCTTTAATTTATATTTTCAAGAGTCTAGGAGACATTTTTACAGGTATTTCTTTCTTTCTTTTAGAGGCAAGGTCTTGCTCTGTCACCCAAGCTGGAGTTCAGTGGCTGATCATGGCTCACGTAATCCTCCTGCCTCAGCCTGCCAAAGTGCTGGGACTACAGGTGTGAGCCATTGTGCCTTGCCATAACAGATATTTCTTATAGGCAAGTCAAATTCACTATTTAAAAATCTAATTTAATCGCCCCAAATAGAAAATGTGAATTATCTTTGACGCTTCCCTATCAGGGTTCCCAGTCCTATCTCAGCACCCTAATTCTCCATTCCTATGGCACTGTCTTAGTTTAAGTCCCTCAATTTCCCCAACTCCACCACCACCACACTACCCCAGGGCAGGTCTCCTTGTTTCTGCCTTTACTGCAACCTATTTTGTTCTAATACCTGGTTAGCCATACTGATCCTGTTAAAATTAGGACAGATTATGTCACCCTCTGCTCAAACTCCAGTGGCTTCTGCCATCATTTAGAGAAGCCAGAGTCTGGCCTGCGAGGCTCTTGCCACCCTGTTCTGACCCCTCCTGCCATTCCCCTTCCTGACTACAGCAGGCACAGGCCCTTCTGTGCTGATCTTCCATCACAGCAGGCACCTCCCTCTTCAAGGTTTTGGCTCTTGCTGTCCCCTCAGCCAGGAATACTCTGTCCTTAGGTATGGTTTGCTCCCTCATCTCCTCCAGGTCTGTAGTCAAGTGACCCCACTCAGGAAGGGCTGCCTTTGCCACTGTCTGAATTTGCTACCTACTCCTCCATTTGTCTCTCCCCTTGTTTACTTTTCTCCTCAGCACTTGTCACAATCTGACTATGTAATTTACACATTCTTCTTGGTCATTGTCTATATCTCCCTTACTAGACTCTAAGCCCCACAAGAAGGAATTGTGTTTGCCGGTTCTGTTCCCTGCTATTCCAGTGCCTTGCACACTGCAGGCACTCAGTAAGTGCAGTCATGCACCATGTAACATTGTTCCTGTCTAGGATGGACTGTGTTTATGACGTGGTCCCATACGATTATAACGGAGCTGAAAAATTCTTATTGCCTAGTGATGTGGTAGCTGTCATAACATCATAGCACATTACATTACTCACATGTTTGTGGTGATGCTGGTATAAACAAACCTGTGCTGCCAGTCATATACAAGGATAGCACATAGGATTATACATAGTACATGATACTTGATAATAAATGACTATTACTGGTTTATGTATTTACTATACTTGTTATCATTATTTTAGAGTGTACTCCTTCTAGTTGTAAAAAAAAATGTTAACTGTAAAACAGCCTTATGCAGGCCCTTCAGCAGGCATTCCAGAAGAAGGCATTATCATCATAGGAGAAGACAGTTCCATGCCTGTTATTGCCCCTGAAGACTTTCCAGTAGGACAATATTGATGATCCTGATCCTGAGTAAGCCTAGGCTAATGTGTGTGTTTGTGTCTTAGTTTTTATCAAAAGCAGAAAAAAAAATTTAAAAATAGAAAAAAAACTTACAGAATGAAGTTATAAATGTGTTTGTGTTTAAAGCTAAGTATTATTACAAAAGAGTTTTAAAAATTAAAAAGTTTATAAAGTAAAAATGTTACAGTAAGCTAAGGTTAATTTATTATTGAAGAGGCTGGGCGCGGTGGCTCACGCCTGTAATCCTAGCACTCTGGGAGGCTGAGGCGGGTGGATCGCTCGAGGTCACAAGTTCGAAACCAGCCTGAGCAAGAGCGAGACCCGTCTCTACTATAAATAGAAAGAAATTAATTGGCCAACTAATATATACATAGAAAAAATTAGCTGGGCATGGTAGTGCATGCCTATAGTCCCAGCTACTTGGGAGGCTGAGGCAGTAGGATTGCTTGAGTCCAGGAGATTGAGGTTGCTGTGTGCTAGGCTGACGCCACGGCACTCACTCTAGCCTGGGCAACAAAGCAAGACTCTGTCTCAAAAAAAAAAAAACAAGCTATGATGACACCATTGTACTCTAGCCCAGTTCAGAGTGAGACCCTATCTCAAAAAATGAAAATAAATAAATGAATATAAAAACCTTCAAATACATAAGCAAAAAATTGCAAACATTTCTAAGTAGAAATTTTCTAAATCCTGTAATAAATATAATAAATGAAAATTATTTGCAAACAAATAATGTCCCCCAAAATAGTTTGTTTTATTTGAGTAGCATATGCATGCTTCCTAAAATTTGTTTTACGTTATTATTTTCACTGGCAAAACTTAGGCTCACAAATTGCAAGAATTACACATATTCTGAATTAGTAGATAAAATAAAAGTAATGATAGTGGTGTTGCTATCACTCCTAAATTGAGGTATGCTGAATAAAACAACAAAATAACATTCCTTTCCAAAAATGGAGAAAGTTGCTCAATCCCATTGTTGCCTTATTTCACTAAGCTGTACCTCCCATTTCAGTACCTCACCAGTCTTGGCACTACTACTCTTAACACTTTTTATTCAAACAATTCACAGAAAGCATGTTCCAGCCGGGCACGGTGGCTCACGTCAGTAATCCTAGCACTCTGGGAGGCTGAGGTGGGCGGATTGCTCCAGGTCAGGAGTTCGAAACCAGCCTGAGCAAGAGCGAGACCCCCGTCTCTACTATAAATAGAAAAAATTATTGGGCGCAACTATATATATAGAAAAAAATCAGCTGGGCATGGTGGTGCATGCCTGTAGTCCCAGCTACTTGGGAGGGCTGAGCAGAAGGATAGCTTGAGCCAGGAGATTGAGGTTGCTGTGAGCTAGGCTGACCACAGCACTCACTCTAGCCTGCAACAGAAGTGAGACTCTGTCTCAAAAAAAAAAAAAAAAAAGAAAAAGAAAGCCTTTCCAATTCTGTTCACAGGGGTCATATTCACCTGGGTTTTTGTTTGCGAGCATGGAGCATACATCTGGTACTGTGCGCAGTTACAAAATAGGTCACAAGTCACTATTTCTGCCCTCAAGAAGATAACAGCTCCAGTTGCAGAAATAAGATGCAAACAGACATAAAATAATCAGAAAACAATTCAAGGCAACACTTCAGTGTTTAAGTGTCAATTTTGTGGTACAGTAGTTATGGTGGCTCACACCTGTAATCCTATGCACTATGGGAGGCGAGATACGAAGGATTGCTTGAGCCAGAATTTCTGAGACCAGCCTGAGCAAGAGACCCTGTCTCTACAAAAAATAGAAAAAAATTAGCCTGACATAGTGGTGTGCACCTGTCGGTCCCAGCTACTGGGAGGTTAAGATAGAAGAATCACTTGAGCCTAGAGTTTGAGGTTGCAGTGAGCTCTGATGATGCCCCCGCACTCTAGCTGGGGCAACAAGCCCCTGCTCAAAACAGAAACAAAACAAAACAAAATGAAGAAACCAAAACAAAACAAGAAGGCATTTGATGTGAGCTCAGAAGTTTAAAAAAATTTGAGCTATTTAAAGAAGGGGAGGCCACCATGCCTGAAAAGACTCCTACCTGAGATTTTCTTCCATCTCTTCCAATAGCTTCTCCAAGTCCTATTCAGGTCTGATAGCATTTTCAGCATGTTGTCGTATTTCTCCCCAGGATCAGATCAGCCATCTAGGTGGTACACAGAAAAAGCTGCCATGAGACAGAACTCATGTTTAATTTCAGCTCCACTGTTCACATCTGGGTTGATTCCTCCAAATAATTCTTTTCCATCTCTTAGATTCCAACACACTTACCCACAG